ATCTTGAAATGGGTTGTGAATTAGACTTAATGTAATCCATGAAATTTGGGGGTTATGTGGGTATGTTATGTGTTTATTGTATGCCTTTAGAATTAAGTATATTATTAGCATATGTTATGTAATAACATACTTGTGAATTGTTGTTGAAAATGAAATGTGGATATATGTTCATTGACATATAGCATTATGAGAAACTTTGGTAATTATATGCTCCGAATATAAATTGCCTTAAAATTGCCTTGGAAAGCCCGGTGTTGATACTCACTGCATAGCATGGGGTGAAGGTAAACGGCCGAAGCTAGAAAAACTCGGTCATATACACATTGGCAATACATGTGTTGTGGAGCCGGGAAAGGTTCGGGTAAATTGCATGAATGGATATCATTTCATTTATGGCATGACATGTAGATTTCAACTTGGACTTGCTTAAGTGTTGGTTGGAATGATTGTTGTTGTTAAATGTTGCATGTGAATATTGCATATGCACTTAGGTTGGGGAGTAGCCCCTGTAGGAAACATTCTACTAGGCGTTGTCCCACCCTATAAGAGAAACATTTCAGGTGCGGGGTTCGTACCGGTGGAGGACTTACATTCGGGGCCTCAATAATGAAGAAAAACCGGTTTGTGGCTTTTGAAAAACAAGTTTTTGTAAAACTTTTGAAAAATTCCATTTTGAGCATGTAAATGTGTAAATGAGCTTGTAATCACATGGAATTAAACGTAATAGAACTTGTATGAATCATGTATAATGTAGAAAACTATATTGTATATGTTTAGGATGTTTGTGAGAAAGTTTGGGGTGAATTGGAAATAAAAAAATAGGTGAAACAGACCATTCTAGGCAAAACCTTCCGGAAAGTCGCAACAAAACCTTCCGGAAGGTTTGGACAGGCAAGGAAAATTGTTGGACAGTGGGTGAAACCTTCTAGAAAGTCCATTCTAACCTTCCGGAAGGTCTTCGCATCTTTATAAAATAAGGGAATTCAGTGTGTGACTTCTTCCGGAAAGTTTAACACACCTTCCGGAAGGTCGACATTTCTGTCTTCAAGATAGGGTTCCAGTATGCTAAATCTTCCGGAAGATTTTCCAAAAATCTGAAATTTTAAGAATGCTTTGCCACACTTTTGGGCTATGCGTTCTTTGGTTCCAATGACACAAATGGACCTTAAATGGGATACATTGGGGTGTATTGAATCTCGATGAGATTAAATGATTAAAGAAACACATGATACATGTGTGAGTTAGAATCCCGGACAAAGGGATATTATTAACGTGACGCCGGAGTAGGCAACAATTACGGGTATTTCCGCAGGTTGACGCGTGGTCAATGGTTAATACGGGACCCCCGGTTTTAGGGGCGTCACACAAACTATTGAAATATTGCAACTTCAACTCTAAGAGCCCAAAAAATTTGAAGAAATATCTTTAACAAAGCACGTGTGGTAATTTTTCAATCCAAACAATTAGGAAGTAACTTATTTTTTCATTTGATTTCATACCAATTTTAAATTTTTTCTAGTGGATCTAAACAAAAATGTGCATCAATAAATTTTTTAAGATTATATCCTTACTATGCACATGACGAAATCAATCTTCACCCCACGTTGTAAACATGTGGCAAGAGAGTCTTCTTCAACATGAACACTAACTTGATCATTGAATCGTGAATAACTTACTTTGATTGTTACACCAGGAGCGTCAATCTAGCTCTGATTGTTCTAGTAGGATCATCAATCTAGCCCGTCTAATTCTGTCAGGATCATCAATCTAACTCTGATACCACTTGTTTTTTTGAATATCATCCACTGCACTATCAGTAAAAAACAAGGCTTCTAAATTATCATCATTGCCCTCTGTAATTTTAGCATGATAATTCTTATTATCGGGTCTCCTTAATTTGTAACAGCCTTTTTTACAGTGTCCTAATTTTCCACAATAGTAGCACTTTATCTTGGATTTATCTAATTATTCACCCCAATTATTACTCTTTTGTATTTTTCTCAACCAAATCTGTTTTGTCATGTATCTTGGTTATTTGAATGATGATATTTCTGATTAATTGAGATTTGTTATGAGATTCATCCTTCTCTTTTTTGAAACTCGTCTAAGTCTACAAGACTTCTTCTCATAAAACCTCAGTCTTTTTCTTGAAACTTGTTGGAACATAGCTTTAATACCACTTGTTAGTTTTGCACAACGGATAATTAACACAAATAATACTTATTGAAAAAAAGGAATTCAAATATAGAAATACAATTAAAATATGACACAAAGATATAGCGTGATTGGATACAACATACTCACCTTGGTATACCGTACCTACATCCACGGACCAAGAAGTTACGTCAATGTATTATTCTCTGAAAAACTGGTCGTGATTACATAATACTCAACCCTATTTATAGGGATAAAATACTGTAAACCAAACTTATTCAAACACAACTTAATTTTAATTATTTCCTATCACAAGTCTAATATACATATTCATGGCATATTAAAATTCTTCCAATATATTTTCTATTCCATGCCGATGATTACCCAACAAACTTTCATTCATGACAAGAGTTTAGGTCAAATTCTAACATTGCAGATAGACTTATCAATTGATCGTATACAGATTCAAATTTAAAAAAAAAAAATTAAAGCTACGTTTTGAATTGATCACAAGTACCAAATGAATTTTATTTTTATAATCTATGTCTAAATTTGTTAAAAACAAAAAACAATTATTCGAATAACTAATTATAGCTTAATTTTACTCAGTTACATCAAATAATAATATATCCAAATCTATATACGACTAATTAAATTCATATCCAAATCAAATTGGGATTCAAATTTAATTCAATGACATCTCTATTTGCGAATACTTCCCTCTGATAAAGGGTGAGTCCTAAAAGAAGCCCACAGTCTGGCCACGCGTAAATACAATCTATCTCAATTAATCGTAGTGTGAAGCCTTAGAGGTGTCCATGGATAGGGTTGGCCCATGGGTCCTTATCCAACCCAAAACATATGTCCAAAGTCAAATAGTTGACTCATCCGAACCCAAACCCTATATCTTTTAAGAGAGAGTTTGAACTTGTTCTCAAACTCATTATCCGATTCGAAACATGGGTCATGAACTCTACCCGCAAAAACTCAGCCCAAAAGCCTGCTCGCCAAGCCTAACCAAGCCCTGTCTACCTTTTCACTCTAATTGTTTGAAAAAAAAAATTGACCATTCAAACTTTAAAAATTTAGTAACAACACATGGCTCTACTTTATTTAAATAAAATTATTTATTATTTATTTTAACTTTATTTTTAATTTAAAAATATAATTTATAAAAATATTAAGTTAAATTTTTTTAAATAAATTTATATATCTATATAATAAAGTAGCTTACAATTCAAATCTCAAAAAATAAACAAAATGACTTTTGCTATTTGCGGTTGAGATCTCTTTGAATTTTACTTCAAATTTAATCTAACGGCTAATATTAACACCCTAAATTTAATAAGAAAAATAGGTCCCTAAGGGAGTGTTTGAAGTGATTTTTTTAAAGTATTTATACAAATTATTTCTCATAAATATATTTTTTTTTAAAATAATGTTTGAAACTACCCCACCACTACATCTATCGTCGTCGCCGCCGCCACTCTCCCACACTGCCGCCACAATCACCACCATCGCCACCGTCATCGTCGTCGCTACCACCACCACTACCACCATCGCTGTCGCCATCGCTACTAGCACCATCACTGCAGCCACCATTGTAGCCACGGTCATTGCCACCCACCCCAACCATCACCGTCTCTTACTATCATCACTGCTACCCACTATCTCTCACCCCCCACTACAAATCGATGCTTAAATTCTTTTCTATATGTTTGTGATTTGATTTTGAATATAAATACAAATATATATATTTTTTTTTCCTAAAAATATCACATCACTCATTTCTTTTGCATGATTAATCATTTAATATTTGATTAATTTATAATTTAACATAATTTTTATTTTACAAATAAAATAATAAATAATTAAAAAAAAATGACTATCAGACCCGTACCCAAGTTCCAAAAAATTTCGATGGCCCTATAGTTTGCCCCCAGTTTCCATCATTTTCTATTTGGGTTAATCGTAAGTTGTACACTGAAAAATAGTTGAAAATTTAATTTGTACCTTTAAAGATCAAAAATTTAAATTTGTACCCTCAAAGATAGAAATTTATATCAATGTGCACCTTCAAAGATAAAAATCTCAATTTGTACCCTCAAAAATAAAAATTCGTATCAATGTACACCTAAAACTAAATTAATAAATTATATCTAGACCCCTCATACTTGTCACTTAATCATTTGAATCCCTTCATATTTAGAATATTACTCTTACATTTCATGAAATTTGTGCATGCGTAACATGTAACCCCCCTTCATTGATATCTGTTAATATAACCGTTAAAAAATATGATTTTATCCTAATAAAAAATTATAATGTCCAATGGTAAGTTTGACTTTAAACTTTAGAGTATATCGAACCCACAAAATAAATAGTAATATAAAATTATAATTTTTTATTAGGATAAAATTATATTTTTTAACGATTATATTAACAGATATCAATGAAAAGAGATTACGTGTTACATGTGCACAAACGTTATGAGATGTAGGAGCAATATTCTAAATGTGAAGGAGTCAAAATGATTAAGTGATAAGTATGAGGGGATCTAGGTATAACTTATCAATTTAGTTTTAAGTGCACATTGATACAAATTTCTATCTTTGAGGGTGTAAATTGAGATTTTTATCTTTGGGGGTGTACATTGATATAAATTTTTATCTTTGAAGGTATAAATTGAGATTTTTGATGTTTGTAGATATAATTTAAAATTTTAACTATCTTTTAGGTTGTAACTGGCAATTAACTGTTTCGATTTTCACAACCTCGTCAAACCTTTGAGGCGTAGCGTTTGACGAAGAGAGAGAAAGATAGTAGCAGACGAAGAGGACGACGCCATGGCCATAGCCGCCACCATTTCAGTCCATCTCACCACCCCGGCTCGCCGGTCTCTCTCCTCCTTCACTAGTTCCTTTCGGTCTTCTTCTTCTTTCTTTTCTCTTCAAATGGACACTCTCAAATCGATTACTACTTCAATTCGGAATCCTAAGTTTCGGGTCATCTCTGCTTCTTCAATTAGAATCGAAGCGCCCGAGGAAGCCTCCCCAGCTTCTTTTCTAGACCGGAAAGAAAGTGGGTTTCTTCATTTTGTCAAGTACCATGGGCTTGGCAATGACTTTATCTTGGTAAGCTAATCCTGAACTGCTCTGTTTGGTTGCTAAGAAAGTTTAAGAAAAGTCAAAGAAGTCAAAGTTTTGAAATTGTGTGATCTTGTTTAGCTAACAATTTAGCTTCTTTTATTATGTTTTCTCTGCAGCAAAACAAAGCCGGTTTAAGTATAATCGTTGTTCATCTGTTTTTTATTTGACTGATTGGTATTTTGTGTTTTGATTTGATATTGATTCTTCGTTTTGTAAGCTGGGTTTTGTGTAGGTGGATAATCGAGATTCTATGGAACCCAGGATCACTCCGGAACAAGCGGTGAAGTTGTGTGATCGGAACTTTGGTATTGGAGCTGATGGAGTGATATTTGCAATGCCGGGGATCAACGGAACTGATTACACAATGAGGATATTCAATTCAGATGGTAGCGAGCCCGAGGTAGTATATATTCCCCTGAAAAATCACATCTTTTGTCATTTTGAAAGTCTGAAATATAAGCCCAATCAGGTGGCCAAATGTGTCTTGCCCCGTTTGGTACGAAGGTTCCATCTTTTTCCTTCTTTTTGTTTGGTGGGTGGTATTGGATGAAAATTGAAGAGTAGAATTTCAAGAATGCCTTTTTGACTTTGAGCACGAAATTGTTCTGATTGTTTGCTAACAAGCAATAATGATTAACATTCCTGTTTCTTAAGTGTAATAGTATACATGACTGTTTCAGTATGTTTGGTTGGTGATGCAATATTTTCTTGAAAGTGTAAAAATTTTGTATGTTAGGTTGCTTTTCTTTGTCCAGGTGATCTCAATGTGTGGATATTTTTTTTTTTTTTAACATTGTGATAAAAAACTTGGTTTTAAAAAAAATATAAATTCTTAATTTATTCTTTGTTTTTGTAGATGTGTGGTAATGGAGTTCGTTGCTTTGCTAGATATATTGCCGAGCTTGATAGTTTACATGGGAAGCAAAGGTGTGGTCTTTAGGTATTTTTATTTTTTGAGGTTTTCCTTATCTATGTTGTATATCCTTGCTTAAATACAGCTCCAAGTTAAATCCAATGCTTATGGCTTCATTGCTTACATGTTTTCTCAGTGCCATTGAGGATTGGCCTTGGCCATGATGCTTATGTCTCGCTCTACTTGCCTCTTTGGTTTGCTTATGGTGATTGACATCATTAAATTTTGAAATTTCCAAGGAATGGCTAAATTTTGAAATTTCCAAGGAATGGCTAAATTTTGGCCATATTTTCTTTTCATTAGTTGCTTTAACCAATCATTTTGTGATTGTGACACTTCGTTTATTATTTCCCATATAGGCAAGAATTGCACCGGAGGACCTAAGTCCTCTGAATCCCATCCCTTTGCAACCTGATCCAAGGGCATGGACATTCAATTTAGTGACACTATTTTGTGAAAGATATTCCCTATATTACAAGGATCCTTAGTAGCATTTCTACATATTCTCAGATACTTAATAAAGTTTTGAACACAACATTTGATTATACAATAGCAATTTGCACTTAACCAATGGTCAACCTCTCTTACTTATATCTTATATCTATGACCAGTGCAAAACAGAATTTAGACTAGTAGAACCCCCCCCCCCCTTCCCTGGGGAAACTCCATTCTTTTGCCGTACAATATGATTGTTGTGAATATTTTCAGGATGATAGTGTAGCTCTTTCCATTACATATCTGCTTATACAAATATTTGTTATTGAAGTCCAACGCAAGCATGCAATGAGGTTTTTTTCTTCTTCTGGAAAACATGAAAATGATGCAAAAAATAAGTTGATGATTTGTGTGTCTTCATTAAAAGTTGTTTTTTTTAGATCTGATTGTAAACTGTATGCAGCAGTAGGTTTCTTATTATTTTCTTCTGAAATGGTGCAGTTTTACCATACATACTGGTGCTGGTTTAATTGTTCCTGAAATTCAAGAGGATGGAAAGGTATTCTTTGTTATGTGTTATAAATTATATGTTTGGGCTTTCACTTGTGAGTTTCTTCGTGGCGTCAAATTTTAAGCCGTTAGATTCAAAAAAAAAAAAAAATTCATTAAAACTTTAATTTTAGAGGTAATAACCGGAGATTCTTTGTGTGCTGCCTAACATGTCATTTATTCACAATTTATAATTTTTAGGAAGCGTCTATCGTCCTGCTCGAGCTATTTTGTATGTCAATTTGAAGGTTCCAAACTTGTCCTAGATTGAAGCACTCTCTCTCTCTCTCTCTCTCTCACACACACACACACACACTCAAACGTCCATATGTAGGTATTATTGCCTGATTGTTCTGGCATACTTGTTAGGATTTACTCTATGCATGTTCTGTTCTTTGCAGTGCTTCTGGTGTCATTCTTTATGCTTCTAATCCTATGACCTTGTTTAACATCAGTATATCTTTATGATCAAACAACTTGTGGCATTAACTGTCCATCATAAGTTGATCAGACATTGCATGTGGTAATTTTAGGTTAGAGTTGATATGGGTGAACCGATACTGAAGGCACTAGATGTTCCCACAAAACTGCCTGCAAATAAAGATCAATCTGTTGTCAAATCAAGACTGGAGGTAGATGGAGTAACATGGAATGTCACATGTGTTAGCATGGGAAATCCCCATTGCGTTACTTTTGGCACGGCAGGAAACCAGGTATGTGTATTCCTCAAAGCATATTTGATGTAGATCGTAATAGCTCTGATACCAAATTGATGTAAATTGTATTAGGGAAGAATTAGGGATGAGAAGGGAAGAAGAAAGAGATGAGAAAAGAAAAAGAAGAAAGGAATGAGAATAGAGAGAGAATTTTAGGAAAAAGATTCAATATCAATAATCAATAATCAAAGTCTAGTCCTTCAACAAATATGTATCCCCTATATATATAAGGAATTCACAAATCCTATATATATAAGGAGATCACAAACCCTAAAATAAATAAATAATCAAAATGATAACTAAACCCTTAAAAGTTAAAAGAAATTACTTAAAAGTTAAATATTAAAAGTATCTAAATAACTATCATAATTAATTTATAATATCTATCAAATTCCTACACGATCCCCATCATTTTCCTCCGGTTGAAAAAAACTCTCTTCCGGAGATTCTTCAAAGTAGAAGTACCCCAAAAGAGCAAGATGAAGATGACATAATACCTCATCTAGAATGAAAGAACCATCGACTTCTTTCCATTGACCAGGATAAATGCAAGAATCTCCATTTATATGAACACCTGCGAATAAAATAGAAGGCTCTGGAGTACCTCGATTAAGCAGCATGTCCTTCCAATAAAAATCTGGACTAATACTAACATTCAATGGAAAATTAAGCAAATAAGCATTAGATCCAAACTCAAGAATAACAAAACAATTCTCATTAAATTTGAACAATAGGCATTCAATGGGACAAGACATCAGTGACAAAGGAGTAACTATAATACCCTGGTGCTGAAAATAAGAAAGTACAGACTCAATTGAACACTTGACAATAGACAAAGAATCAAAGTTAACACTCTCAAGTGAGGCAGAATCCAGAACAATGCAAACAATCTCAGATTGGGAAGAATCTGTAACAAAGTCATGATGACTTGGACAAGTAGACATAAAATAGTCACTATTAGATTTTGTAATAAATGACTCAATTAGTTTAATATCTTGCATAGGTGTAGACTCAACAGACTTTTTCACAATTTTCAAGATCAATGATGGTTCAAGAATTGATACAAACAAAGACTCACACACACTTTCTTTCGAAATGGACTCTTGTGGGTGTAAAGGAGGAAGACTTTGATATGATGAAACTAAATGAGGGAGTTGGAAGTCCATATGAATAACATTTTTCTCTTATCTGACACTAAAATATTTAAATCCTTTGCCACATTCGAATTAGGAAAGCATGCAGAAACAATATGGACATCGTTTAAGTAATCATGATACTCATATGTGATAGAATTAAAATTGGAAGATGTTCTATCAGCAGGCTGTGATTAAGAACTCATCAAGGTATAGTTGGATTTCTTATAAAATCTCTCAACCTTTAGAGCATATTGATAGGCTGCAACTAACGTATTAAAAGTGTATTGTTTAACCTCCTTACTAATTTTTTGTCTCAATCCAAAAATAAACTGATCAATTGTCCAAGGTTCTTCAACAATGTCACATAAGTACATGAGATAATCAAACTGGGCAAAGTAATTAGAGACACTAGAAGAATGTTGTCTAAGATTGAGTCATTGGTCATAAACTTGATCCATATTAGGAAGTAGGCAAATATTTCTCTTTCAATTTATATCTCATTTCAACCCAAGTGATAGGGGATTCTCCTAAGGGGTCTAGGCTTCTTTGGATTGTTTGCCAATACTTCTTGGCGGAACCCTCCAACATCAATTTAGCAAAACGGACGCAATGAGAATCCGACATGCCATGCCAATCAGAATATTCTTCTAAATTAGCTAACCAATCCAAGAATTGATTGGGATCCGGAGTACCACAAAATGTAGAAGGATATTTGATTCGTTTGATCATATGAGTTGACTCCATGTAAACATTCTTTGACTTCCTATGATGATGACATTGAGGAGAGATTCTTGAAACATGTGTATTAGAGAAACTCATGAGTGGCTCTTGGAACAAGGGAATGACGTCAAAACAAGTTCAAGAATATAATTGACAAATAATTTGGATCCTTTGCAAATTTTTTTAATTTTTCAATGAATAAAAATATCAGTTTCAAATTTCTATAGGAGTATGCATACCATAATCAAGAGGAAATTCTGAAATTTTTTGGGAATGATTCTGCAATTTTATGGATCTGTTGGGAATGTTTTTTGTAATTCTGGAACTTCTGGAAGGAAGATTCTGCAATTTTTGAAACTTCTAATGGTGATTCTGTAATTTCTGAAATTTTTTGGTAGTGGTTCTGCAACTTCTGGAATTTTTTGGGGTGTTTCTGTAATTTTTGAAGTCCTCTTGGGATGTGTCTGCAATTTTTGGGACTTATGGAGATGTTTCTGTAATTTGCTGAATCTGCTGGGAACTTTGGTTCAAAACTTAACCCACCAGACTAGTGACAAAATATGATAAAAAAATTTTGTTTCCTCTTTTTTTTATCTTTTACTGATGAACAGCGTTTTTGGATGAATAGTTTTTTTTTGATGAATAGTATACAGATGAACAGTGCATCTTGAACAGAGCGATGAACAGTAACTTCATTTTTTTTTTTAATTTTTTTTTTTCCGAATCGAAGTTGGGCTCTGATACCAAATTGATGTAGATCGTAATAGCTCTGATACCAAATTGATGTAAATCGTATTAGGGATGAGAAGGGAAGAAGAAAAATAAGGGGATGAGAATAGGGAGAGAATTTTAGGAAGAAGATTTAATATCAATAATCAATAATCAAAGTCTAGTCCCTCAACAAATATGTATCCCCTATATATATAAGGAATTCACAAATCCTATATATATAAGGAGATCACAAACCCTAAAATAAATAAATAATCAAAATGACAACTAAACCCTTAAAAGTTAAAAGAAATTACTTGAAAGCTAAATATTAAAAGTATCTAAATAACTATCATAATTAATCTATAATATCTATTCAATTCCTATACGATCCCCATCAGTATTATTTCTAGTGGTCTCCTTTTCAACTTTAGGACTTGCTGGATAATGCTACACACCTAGTTTGTCGCATATTTTGTAAACTGCAAACTCTTTACCTCCTCCTAGATGAATCGGAAAAGCAACTTTACAAATATCTCTTTGGGTGAAGGTCTGGCGATAACTTTTTTCTGTTCTTCCTTTCATCAATGACTGACATTATTTCATGATGTTTTCTTCTCATCATTGGGAAAAAAATGATTGACCATGTATATATATATGCATGCTAGAAAAAATCTGAATTATTCTGTTCAGACTTAATCTCTGCCCGACTCTTTTTTTTTCAATTGCTGCTTATCTTGTTGCTTGTTTTCTACTTGTTACCACACAGAATTTGCAGGTTGATGAACTAAATTTAGTAGAGATTGGTCCCAAATTTGAACATCACACAATGTTCCCTGCACGAACTAACACAGGTTCATTTTTTCCTCCATACTTTTGCATATCTCTCTCTCAGGTCCATTTTATATGTCTATATTTCTTTATATTTTGTGATTGTTGTTGGTGGATTTTGAGTCTTTGGTGCTTTATGATGGGTGTGTAAATGCTGTATGGTTGGTGTTTTGAACTTTGAATTTTGAGAATTCTGAAACTTTTAAGAAGGTACTGTTTAGCATGTTATTTCTCTGAGCTGTTGAGATGAGAATATTGGTGAGATGAGAACATCGATTTAACTCTAATCCCAATAGAACACGTGGAATTCATTGCATTGCAAATAATGCCTTCCTTTTTGACGATTTGTCTTTTTTTTTTTGTCATGTACTTCTTGTTAAAAATATTTAGGATGCTTTATGCTTACTAAGGCTCAACTGACATGATTTAAATCTTCCAATTCCTAAGGTGATGCTTGTATATTTCAAACAATGATCCACAAGTTCATCAATAGATTATACATTGGATAAATGATGTCATTCAAAGATGTCTTAAGCCATTTTGATCATGGTTCAAGGTCACGGTATCGGCCATCAACTCGGAGAGCTCTGAGACACATCGATCGCGATGTCGTGGTGCGGTATTGGGCGATACGACCTAAAAAAATGTTGACCATAACGAGAAATTTAGGTCATATTACGGCGTCGTAGAACCATATCAGTCAATTCGGTGACGATATTTCGGCGACTCGTGATTGACTCGGATACAACTCAGATGACTCGGCCGAGTTGTGCGAGACTCGGAGTTTATACGTATCGTGTAACGATATCGTCTCCGAAAGTATCGAGACGGATACAACTCAGCCGATTTGTATTAGTATCGGCCAATACTTTGAACCATGATTCTGATGGATATCAATACATTAGTTTGATTCCAAAGTTACTCAATTGAAGCCTTGAATGTTTATTAGCTTAGCCTTTCAGTGATGTGTAAACCCACATTGAAATGCCATCCAAATGTTATGGTCGAGAAGAGGTGAATAAATTGGATACTTTTCGGTACATTCATGAGTATTGAGTACATTGGTCACTCCATATTTTCAGTGCTTTAATATATCCTATTCAGAAATTCGCTATGTTTTTCAGTACATTCATTGATTGTTGTATATTTTGTCACTCCACAATATCAAGTTTTTAATTAATTTATCCGATTCAGAAATTTACTATTAGTTAAAATTTCCTACTGCTTCAGGTATGCATTTGTGAATTGCTAATATATGATGTTCTAATTTTGCAGAATTTGTTCAAGTTTTCTCACATTCACACCTAAAAATGCGTGTTTGGGAGCGTGGGGCAGGTTAGTATTTCCTTTTTAAGATATACAGGTGAACATGGATAACATGATGGACTAACACATGACATGTATACGTATGATGCTTACATGAATACACGCAATTTGCAGCCCCGGAAACCTTGGATCAATTTTGTCGTCTAGCTAGCTGCTTGTCTCTTCTTAATTGCTCTTCTGTTAAGCTTAACCTGATTGCTGTTGTAGGAGCAACGCTAGCCTGTGGAACTGGAGCCTGTGCTGTTGTTGTTGCAGCAGTTCTTGAGGGCCGTGCTGGGCGGGTAAGTTTAGGATGTTATAGACGATGAA